GGCGAGGAGCACGTCGAAAGCGCATTGAGCGTTACGGATGCCAGAGCCCTCCGACGCCGTTATCCTACAATTAGAGAAACAGTAGAAATTGTTAAAGGAAAACATGTAGGATTAGCATGCCAGAAGTATGCTGTAGGCGGCGCATCAACAGTGAGAACCTCGAGCACAGTCTGAGGGCCCGCGTAAATGCCGGATGAGTGCGTTTGCGTTCTATTACTCACTCAAACCGGCTCTGCCGACCTCGTCATGAGTCAGTGCAGTGGACACACGAAATAGGTGGCTTCCCGACTCTGGCCTGCTTTCAGACTCAGATCCGAATCCTAGGGCTGGGCGCATTAAAATTGGCCATTCTCTACCAGTCATTTGTAGAAGTCGACAAAAATCTACTTTATTTACAATAATACTGCTACGTACCATTTGGTCCACATCCTGAGTACCACTTGGCGGAAAAAGGGTAGGCACACCCTAAACCAACATGAATGCCGAAGTGCGCTAAGACAATTTTTCTGCACCCCTTATGGAACTCCGAATTAATAGTAAAGCGGTATGGCCTCGTGACAGGTCAGCTCCACTGCTTAGGCTTTTGACTGTCTCGTGTTGGCGATGCCTCAAGACCTTTGTACCACTCACGATTTTCTCCACTACTACAGGATTGTTGTTTTAGGGAACGCTTTCGACCAATGTACGTCCGGCTGGCCAAGCTCAAGACCTTTAGAGCACAGAATTTTGGTCTGTTAACACAGTTTATTCCAGATTACTTTTGTTGTAGAAAACTTCAGTGTTATCAGTTTGGGTGAGGATGCGGAAAGGTCCTTAGTTAGGACAATGTCATACCACGTGATTTTTTCTCCGCCGAATGAAGGATGCTCATCCATACGGGCATCCAACCGCCAATTTCAACAGCTGAGGCAGTTACGAGGCTACCTAAAAGTGGTAAGCTAATCAAATGCTCATAGAGAGGCGGCGCATCATCAGTCCTATTTGACATTCGAGAACTGTTTGTGTATTTGCAACAAGCTTAAGGGTGACGAACGACTACCCTTAAAGCAGCCTTCGTATACTTACGTCTGTAGTGCGTATGTGAACGTGTATATGGCAAGTTGTACTAAAAGTAGCATTGTGCAGGGGGTCCACTGGTCATTTTAAATCGACCTTGTGGAGCTGGGAAGCCTAGCCGCGACATGCTTTTGGCACAAAAAGGCGAAAAATATTGTGAAGTCGACTATGCGCACCCTTTCCCCACCAAAATTCAGTTTCAGTGCTCTTACCACCGTTGCTTGGGAGTCTGCTCACTAGCGAGACGTGCGTGAGACTAGGCCAGACTTCGTAGAGCGTCTTATAACACAGTTGTTGTGACAGACCAGGTGGATTATTCAATTATGTGAGGCCTGATTGCGTTAAGAAAGGACCTACATGTGTGTACCACCCGTAGACAGGTAAGATACCCCGTCACTTGCAATGCCCAGTCACATATCCAGTAGCCTTGACATAGGTCACTAGTTTGAATGGGGGAGGAGCGGCTGACGCCGCCCAAGCCTCCCTTCCTACAATAGATCACTGCGAAACCCAGCGTTGTCAAATTAACAGTAGCTTTCGTCAGGTACCAACGAGCCAAATAAAAATTCGCAAGTACTCTCGAACAGGATGAAGAAGTGAAGTAAGCTAAAAAAAAAAAAAAGAAGAACGCGACCGCCGTAAACTAAGGGACTGAAAAACGACAAGCTCGCTACAGGACAAGATGACCTTAGTGCAATAGAGAAAAGTATAGTTCTGGTGCGTCCTCAGATATGGGAAATCAGACCGAGATGAGGCCCAAACCACCCCATTCCTCAGACTGCGTCACAGCCCTGACCGTTATTTGGGGTCAGAAACAAACTTGTACACTCATACAGCGTAAGTGGCCTACAGACACCTCCAATTAGATGGCCATAATCACTTTATCGGGCCAAAGTTCAACGGTGGTTCGCCGCCTGGGATTCTCTGCCGTTGTAGAATGAGTAGTACCACACACTAACCCACAGCAAGTTGTGGATGGATGATAAGGTCACGAAGAGGCAGCCACCTAACAGACCCAACAAAGCCAAGCAGGAATAACGGCTAAGATGCGGTTAGAACAGTCGCTGACATATCTTGCTCTTCGTCAGTCATAGCACCGGCCACCGCCACCATATCGGACCAGAAACAGAACTATGAGCAAGCACAGCGCAGGTGGTCCACAGACATGCTGATCTACTATCTTTCCGACGACATTGGAAGAATAATGACAAATGAGCAGTCGTTCGAGCATGGAAATTGTCGCGCCGTCTGGCCACGCAAGTGTAACGACAAGCAGGAGGCAAATCAATACGCAGGTTTACGGAGATGATGCCAGCGGCTCAGGCCTCATACAGCTTTCAAAATGCATCCGAAGCCGCATAATGTATCACTGCTACGTCAAGCGCTGGCATCGCTCACCCTCCAAGGAGCTTCTGTATGTAGACGGGCCATGCGGATCAAGGAACAACTGAAAACGGGTGATAGACTTCATGGCGTTCGTCGGATTTCCTGCCGTAATGAGCCTTAAAGTGCACCGCCCTGATTGAAATGCGGCCGAGCACACGTACAAACGAGCACAAATGGGTCATAAGGTGGAGGGGGGTTCCCGCTGTACCTCGTCACGATCAGGATACCTGCCATGAAAATTTCGTCGACAGAGGGTTAAAAGGGGCAGCCAAGGCGTAAATCTTTGAAGGCAACTTCATAAACCTGCACACCTGTAATGCCCCCAGCTGTCAAGCCTCACAAAAGTAGCCAGACGACGCGATATAAATTCTAGCCGAGAACGCACAAGGCCGGGGTACTCACACCACGATCGGACGGACAGCGTGACCCCAGCTACAACCAGATGATACAATCCCAGCGCGATCATCCACTACCAAAATGTCCACCTGTTGCTCCCTGAAAACTGGCTCTTAAATGGCTCCCATTTGATTGGGCAACAGGCGATGCGCCAGAGGAAGAATCGGAGTGCTGACGTGCCTTATGCCGTCGCTGAGCGTTGGGTAAATTCGCTAAGCTGATGAACGAACTTGAGACTGGAGTCATCCATAGGCCGGATGCGACAATCTGACAGCAACTTGTGATTCCAAGGGACCCAATACCGATTGATCGATGCACGGACACAAGCTGGCTGTATGGCGGGCTTCGAGCTCGTCAGGTGGCCAGAGTTCACGCCTGCTCCAGGGGACGTGGCATTACCGACGACTCAATCAATAGACATACCGATTTCCGAAATGTTCATCGGGGGATGCGCGAAAAATCAGTGGCACGACTGAGAGCCGTTCTCGGTAGAGGTAGGTTAAATATGTACCGAACCGTACATATCCCCTATTTTTGAGGACAGACATAAGCAGAGTTTGAGGCCCCGAATGGGCAAACAATCGGTCCCAGAGACCGCCTTACCATCCTGCTACCGAATCAGCTACGCCTCACCTATTTTCTGCCGTTCGAGGTATATACACGTACCGTATACCTACGCAGAACATTGTATTGTGCTTCTGCAGTGACGTCGACCAATCGGAACGAGGAGGGGTGCCATCAGAATAGCCAAGACGCATACACCAAAAAGAGACACGGAGCATGGCGATGTCAGGAGTAACGCCTTCAACTCCCCATATCGGCGCTGCCGGCACACTCTTCCTAAGAGTCAATCGAATAAGCGCAGCACTAAAAGACCGATTCATGGTTGTGCCTCATTAGTTGCGATAGCAAGAGACTCAACACGTTGGCACACGCTTTGGGAGTGACGACGACTTCTGTGGGTTAACTATACCACAGTTACTCACATTTGAAACATTCTTAAGCACAGGCATACAAAGCCTAATGTAAGGAGTCGAAGTGGCTTAGTGCTCAGATTTAAAAGCCTGGAAAATGTGGCGAGGTTGTTGTGCGCAAGGCAACCATTGTCGCAAAATATTGGGATTAAGACGGCGGAAACTGGTGCAAAATCAACTGTTAACGGTGCTTTTAGTAAAAGAGGTATGTAGTCAGAACTTATTTATTTGTACAAACTCAGCAGACATCTGAATAAAAAAAATCAAACGCTTAATCCAAGTTTTTTCTCTGCGATTACGTATATAAGAAGGCGCCACATTTTCACTACAAATACTTCGGCCTCTTCGTCGAGTACCTGCAAATACAACAAAATCATTAGTTGAAGAAAGACGCAAGTCGGTTTGACTTTAGTGTCAAGTACTGGTTGTTTAATACAAGAGAAAAAACCTACCATGGCAATTTCATTCAAGATTTTCGCAGGTGGGTTGTGCTCGAGTACTTGTTCGCATATGAAGTTGGACAGTGTGGCTTCCGACTCACCAATGTATGCGACAATCTTCTTATCAACCCATGGCCTTATCCGGGTATTAACAAACTCCTACAACAAAAGCATTTTGGGCGTGTTCACAGTGTTGAGAAGCAGGAGCACGTCTTGTGTGGCAGTTATGGAAAAGAGCATAAAGCAAAAGACTTAAATTTAGACCCTGAAGCTTGTGGGGGTATTAATGCTGACGGTTTTTGCATCTCCCGTTCTCACTTCAGCAACTACCAAATTAACACTGGACAGTAAGTCAGTGGCAATAACTGTTGCCAATTACAGAACCTCAAGTAGGCTAAACGCCATTGCAAAGTAACTCGATACTTCTGTTTGTGGTCAGAAACTCGTTTACTGGAGGAAGGATCAAACACCCTGCCATAGTACAACAAACGCAACACAGGATCCAGGATTTGCGGTTGCGCACCTATGGAAAGCGTATGCTGCCGAGAGATATGGGACCAATGGTCGGGCATCTAGCTGCGTGGACTCCCACCAACGGCATACTTTGCAATACATGACTGAAGCGACCACCGGAATAGCTTTGTTTCTGAGCTGAATTCACGAATGGCGTACAAGATCGTTCACCATCAGAGTGTTGGACACATCGCACGGCGCGTGCTACTAGATTTTGACAGCAAAATACAAGTTGTGGTAAAGAAAGGAAGCAAACGCCTACCGCGTCCACAATGGCCCAGTCAATGGGATATGCAAACAGATCCTCCTTAGCCGTCGGAATTTGCTCTATTATGCGCTTGATCACAGCCTTCTTCTCAGCAGTCGATAGTCGAGAAACGTGCGGCTCCTCCGGTTGTGGAGGAAGAGGCTTTTGAGAGGACGTTGCAGACGGTGGAAGCCAACTAAGAGTCGGTTTCGCTGCCCTCTGTTCCAAGTCATCATCGGCGAATGCGGCAGCGGGTTTACGGACTGTGTGTTCAGCTAAAGATAAAGGTCGCACAAATTACAGTAGATATTAAAACTACTGTTAGAGAGCGCCTCATGCCCTATACGGACTTAAAGCCATTTTAGCATACCTGGGGCAGGCTGTCGTGATCTGCACAAGCTTTTGGTGGAAGAAACCGTCATCGCTGGTATCAGTCTTTGGTTATCAGAAGTGCAATCTTATGCACGACTGCCATACGATTCAAACACCCTAGCCAGCGGCAAACCCCAACATTCCAGTTGCCTTACATTCGCTTTTGCATTTTGTGCGGCTGATTGGTGTGATAGCTCATGAACTTGGAGAGACAGCAATCATGAAACGGTTCGAAAAAGACGCCCGTTGAGAAACGATTTTAAAGACAGTGAAACCTAAGTAGCTTTTCTGATCTTCAGTTACAGTAGCATTTCTGTCTTCAAAGAGTTGGGAAGCTATGGCATAAATGCCTGTCAACAGGATATTCACGAAGAAAGCGATCAAAGAAATGACTTCAGGCCGCAATTACTAAGACCGAAGGGAGAATAAGCTGTCTCGTTAACAGGCAGTGCTACTTATGTTCCGTCATACAAATGAACAAGTGAATGTAGATGGGGATAGGGGCAAGTGCGAAAAATATGGCCCTAAACAACCAATGGGACGGCATGCGAAACGCCAGGACTGAATGCAAGCGCCTTTCAAGTCAGTCCCAGTTGACAACTTTTTGTCGTGGTTACAAGAAAGTGACAAGTCCGATCTCAGTCTTCAGTCTAATGTTGGCATTTACACCACGGGACGAGATGACTTTTGTCATCACCGCGCCTGGCTCTCCCTGGTCAGAGCACGTCGCTAGGGCTCGGCTGTTGCGCATAGTTCGTCACAACTACGCTTTAATAATTAAATACAAAATGAAGCTGACGCCCATCTACGATCATTCTCGTTTTCTTGTAAGCGAAAAACGGAAAGCGTGAAGAGAAATAATGAGGCAGTCGCCGTGCAAGCCTGCTCCAGTACAAACAGATTCATGCGCAAGTCACGACCGTGGCCACCAGGCTGAGCTGTGGGGCTGGTTTGGCGACGCCTACTGTCTTGACTGCACCACATCCAAACTACACTTGATTTTTAAAGTTTATTAATCAAAAAGAAGCTGGCGCGGCAGTAGTGTTGGGCGAGTGGGATAATAAGTCCTGATCGCTTTGTGTCGGAATCGGAGACTGAGGGAGGCAGTAGACTTTTACAAGATTTCGACTTTTATGAGAGGGGCTTGTGGCGCAAATGCCCAAGTCTCGTTTCCCAAACCCGATGGGTTCATACGGCAAGACGAGACCAATACAACTGGTTGTAAGGCGTGTCTGTTCGTGCCACACAACTGCTGATTGCGTCAATCCCGGTAGTTAGGCCAATAAACTATTCCACGTATTTATTAAGTGAAGTAAAAATACTAGCCTCAAGATGTCTAGAGGTGTGATCGCAACTAGACAGGAATGCCAGACGAATAACGGTCCATTAAAGGAGAATAACAAGTGCCACGCTGCCTGGTAGACCTTTATCCAATTCTTCATCCTCCACCACCCACTCTCGGTCAAAGCTGCTGACCACATTCCGCCCATAGGTCACGGTCAGGCCAAACCGATTGAAAACGAAGTCAGTATTCTTAGAAAACGCTTTTATGAAGTCAAGTTGGTGATTCTTGTTAGCTCACGTAAAACCCGCGTCAGAAACGCAAGTCGGTGAAAATATATTAGATCCGGTGATTTCTGTTCGCGGATTTCCAGTTTCCAGGGGCGTCAAAGTAACGGAACTAGGATTGACTGAACTTTAATGTTAGTTGTCACCTCAAACGTCAGAGGTCCAAAGAGATTGAGCTCGATGCCGCGGGACCGCTGTATCTTAAAAATATTGGCCTTTCGAAAATGCATTCAACATTCTGTTATATGTTCACTTAAAAACCGACAGGAAATATACGAGGGTTGGCGCCGGATGGAGAGCAGCTATGCTAAAAAAATTAGAAAGCGGACAATCCTCATGTATCCTGTGAACGCTGACGTGAAGCCTTTTTTAGACAAACCTTGAAGAGGTCAAATTCGCCAGGCATATCGCTATTTCAACGGTGGTTGAAATCAAAATCAGGCAGCCTATTTGCGCGCCAGGAAGACATCGTGTTGAGTTAAATCGGGGAAATATGTGATGGTAATACTGCAACTTCCCGTAAGTAGGATTTTGTATTTAAAAGCGCACTTGAACATCCCATGCTGGCACTTTTTATTTTCATACCAACTGACGGACAACGTTAACGAAATTTCGACAAGGCGAGGCTCGAACCTGGTCGCTTGTGAGCAAGACAACAGCCTCCTGGTTGATCTTCGGACGCATTGTGGGATTTTTGAAGTACACTGCAAGCCGAGCTGGTTATAAAATACTTTAAAAAAGAATTTTGCTTGAAAAAAACTGACACGGAGTTTAGGAAAATGCATCCCGGCCGTGGAATAAAAAGTTATGCACCGCCTCCGTTGTGCAATGCTGAATGGCTACCGCGCGTCAGGCAGGCGTGCTGCCTGACAGTAGCCAGTTGGGTTTTACACTGAAGTACGCGCCACAACTTGGGCGCAAAATGTCAAAGTATTCTCATTAGGGAAACCTGTGATGGAAGGCAAATAAACAAGTCAATCTGCAGCATGTCGACTTCTAGTTGACAATCTATTAGATTGTCTGTCTATCTCGATAATGGAAAATCGAAACAAACCATACAGTTGTACACCTACGGATACTGAGACCAGAGAATGAAAACACTTTTCACAGGCAAACACGAGTATCTCTAGCGCAGGAACTAATAGAGAAACAATGGTTGTTCTGCCTGCCTGCTCGCGAGTCACTGTGTCTGCCCTCACCTTGTTGTGGAGCACACGGTGAACATCGTCAGTCACGGCGGTCAAACTGTCGGGTATTCTGATGCAAGAGCTAGTTAACGTTTGGCACGCGGGTGAAAGGCCCAAACTGAGTGTTATCATTTGTAGGGTTCGTTGACAATTATGTGTAAGTGGAATAAAAATTGCGAACACCCATCATATGGCAGGCTGTTTGTGCATATTGTCATCGCGTCTCACCGTAGCCCTGTTCTGCTGCATTCGTGTTGCCAACTTACGGCGCGTGAGCCATGTAACTAGAGGGGCAGTTACTACATTCAATGTGGTTAACTGCTCGCTGTAATTTACAGCCCTCAACCCGCACGACTCCGTGGTGAATTAGAGTGGCGGATCGATTACCGAGACCCAGGTCAGACGCATTGCGTGTGAAGACTAAATAAGAAACGAAGTGCACTGCAGGATTCAGCAAAACAAATAACAAAAACCGGCCATCTTCATGCTTAATACATGACAGCGAATAGCCTTGGAGGACCGTCCTAATCACGAGGCATATAGACGGTTGCCTAGAAGGACGCCTGTTCTGAAGTTCTGAACACAAATTCTTAATTGCAGTAGCCATCACTTAGTCGCGCACACGCAAAGCTCCATGGACTCGGCAACTCAGACTTGGGAAGTACTGAAGTCACAAGTAAATTGCAGTTCATGAAGCACAGCAACCCTAGAAGTCCGAGTCAACAGCCAGGGATGGCGGATACGGCGCCTGCCCTGAATTTACAACGCATTACCCTACAGTAATAGTACGGGAAGAGGACGCATCGCTTCTGACCTGACCGTACGCCTTAACCGTATTTACATATCACAGTAATTGACCACAACAGTGCACAAAAATTAATTTTCCCTGGGGAAAACGTAGAAATTCTGGATCCATATCAACCTAAAAAACAAAGAGTTATTCAAAATGCGCTTTCTGGACTCGAAAACGGCATAATACTTTATTTTTAAATACTAGATTCTGAGACACAACTAGGCGAAAATGTAACGAAAAAGCAAACCGATAACCAAGGGGAAAACACTTGTACTCAATTAAACTGTAAAAGTGTCTGTACAATCCGGCGTTACCAGTTTTGGCACCACGTACAGATTTGCTATCGTGGACCCAGCTGCAGAACCGTAGACCAACTAGAATGTAGTTAATCTGACTGACTGTACGAATATCAGGTCAGTATATGTTTGCGGCAATGCTGGAGGCACGTGTTGGTGACAAACAGTTAGTTCTGACTAGAGAATTTCAGTATTATCTTACCATTGTCGCATGCTGAGCCAAGTCCAAAGTGGCTAATAGCGTGACTGTTGGAAGAGTTGACGGGCGCAGTCCGGTCATACAATCGGCAGATCAAGACGAGGAAGTTTTCCAACTAACTCCTGTAGCTATGAGCAGGTTTCTTTAACTTGCTGGTCTGCAGCTGATGTTGGTACGTATACGGAAACGAGATATTCGTTGTGGCCCTTGAGTCGCACATAAGTCATCCGGTTGTTGACCGGTTCCTATGACAGTAGGGCACGGTTCACTTGCTGCAAGGGAGCGATCGCACTGTTTACCAGAAGGGTTGTATGAGCCACTTTCGGGATCTTTATTTTTCGAGCACCTGAGACTGCGCGCCGCCAGACTTTGGACACAAGTGCCCAGGAACGTTTGCACACCAGTATCCAATACAACGAGCCCACCCTCGATTGAGCAGAGCAGCTCGCATATTACTTGCCCACAACAATAGACCAGGGTTGCGGAGCGCGCTGATTTCCAGACGCCGTAGCATGGATGGCAATACTTGAGTCGGATGTTTTCATGAGATTTCTCGAAAAATTCGAGTACAAGTGGGTCCCGAACAACCGCTCGGATTGTTTGTCCGAGGTTGTCTATCCTAGTGCTTTGGCTCCAGGACCTAACTACAAGGCAGCAAAAGCGAGCAAATGGTGCCGTCATCGGGCTTTGTAACACTTTATTGGGCAGCCAGCATGTCTTACCTCAGTCCTCTGCTGCTCAGCAACTTTTTGTCAGACCCTAGAGCTTAGTTATTTAACAGCCAAGCTTCGCTGAAGGCTGTCTGGCTGGCGGATGACTGGAAATGTTCTTAATCGAAGGCTTGCCTGTCAAAGCTTGATGGCATCGCTTGGTAGGGGGACATATTCACGGGTGGCAATAGTCTAGGTGTAGGCAGCCCCGGCACCAAGTCTGCCGTAGATGCGCAGGTGTAATCGGTGAAAGGTAGCAGTGTAAATGGGTCCAGGGTTCAGAGCAACTGTATCAAAAGTCCCATCCACCACACCCCACCGCGCATCTGTAAATCCGATGGTATGTTGCATGCTGATCAATGTTGTGGGGTCAGCGTTCCGGTGAGCACTATGCATCACTACTGTATTCACTGGCTGATGGCGTCCATTGCCCCACTAAGCCATGGGCTATAAGTGGCATGTCAGTAGTCTTTAAGCAAGCGGTCGCGATTCCTGTAAATGACCTGTAAAAGGAGGCCCGGGGAGACGAATCTGTCCGTTTCTTTACCTACCGGCGCGTTCATGAGCGTCGGACAGTGGGAATGGCTGGAGAAGTGGGTTGAGCTTTTCAGATTTGCTCACACTCGTCTTCAGACGCATACGGGCCATTCACGACATCCTTAACAGCATGATCAGTGGTAGCAAATACATGCACAATAAGGCTTCTGTAGCACTGAATTGATGAAACCCTAACAAGCCAAAATGGTAAAATAAAGCCGGGTTGGGATGCTTGAATGTTGTTCACTTACTGGATGCCATAGAAAAGAGGAAAGTACCGGAATCTTTCCGACCGATCTCTTGTGCATCTGTATTCTTAGAATTTGACAAGTTTGGTTGGTCTAACATTCGGCTTTGATCAGGGGAGACAGGCTTGAAGCTGGAATCCGTTTTGTCATTTTGGAAGGAAGAATTCTGAAAATGTGAAGGAAGCAAAATCAAATTCAAAAGTTTCATCCGGTAAACACTAGTCGAATGAACGGGGAAAGCCGGGGGCCCACAGGCATGCCGAAGCCCTCAGAGCCGTCATGCAATGACCGCGTATCGGCGAAGCCTGCCCGGGATTTAAGCTAGTACCTGTGCTGTCAGTGCGGTAGATCGTGCAACTATTAACTCCCAGCCAGTCAAATAATGTTGCAAGTCTTTCTGTATTATCCTACCCAAGTTCCAGGGTATTCGATGTTGAAATCCGTCAATCAAAACCGGGTCCCAGTTGCATTGGTCCACCTTTCGTCTGCTAGGATCAGACGGCGCTTGTTTGTAACCAGGACTAACGAAAAGTAAGCCGAATGCCCATTTAATAGACTTTGGCAATGCAGGCTAGATGACAACTCTACGACCAGACACCAAATCGATGTACGACTTTCCTGTAGCCGCGGCAATTAGCTGCTTGGGTTCAAGAAGCACAATGTATTGGACTTTCGATCTCGACGAGTGAAATTCTTGGCATGTGAGAGCCAGCATAGGGAGGCTAGGATGCACTAGGAATACGAGGAATAAGATGGAGGCGGTGTGCTCAAAGGATGGGTGAAAGCATGGTTATTGCACTTGGCAGTTTAATCGACTTACAGCGGCGGAATTCGCAGTATCCTTAGAGGTCTCAATAAACGCACTAGCAGGAGTGTCCGCGTGCTGGGAGGACTCGTCATTTCCGTCGACATTGTTCAAAGGTGACGATCGTGGGAAGGTTGGATAGTGAATGCCAGGCGTAGAGCCACCGTCCAGATTAAGGCTTTTCCGAAGGTGTTCCTGCATCTTCTGTTCCATTTGGAGAATAATGGATTCTGCGTTAGGATCCCTTTCCTCAATCAATTTCCTCTTTGCAGCTTCGAGTTGTTCGATTTCCTTTTGACGATCACGTTCATCGGCTGCTTCCTCAACTTCTCTATCGGCTAAACGTCCTTGAAGAGCGCTTCCCCTAAAGGAATTAATTTTTAGTAAACGGGCCGTTCCTTGTCAACCATTTCAGGGTAATTGCATAATATATGTAGCCAGGCTTCCTCCCCAAGCTCGAGTACGTTTAAATGAGAGGCAAATATTGTCATTTTAAGAAAGGTTAGATGAATCATTCCGGAGGGAATTATGGTAGTTAGTGATCTAGTGAACTGGGACAATATACAAGTGATTTGCACACAATGATGGAGCAGTTTTTTCACAAATCGAAGCCCGAGAAAAGAATGGCTGGGTAACGAAAAGTAACTCGCAATGAAGTTTTTAAACTAGTTTCCGAACCTTTAGCTCTAAACAGACTGAAATAAGACTTCTGGTGACGCAAAGCGCAAGGGTGCTCAGCTAGGCCGTTGCATGTGTCAGGCATCATGATGCAGTAAAGAAACCCCTACGTTGGCAAACGGGCGTTTGCGGCAAAATTACAAGCTAGCATCAAATTGATGGAAGTGACGGAGGGCCAGTCAATCGGCAGATCTCGCTTCAGTACCTGGACCAGGTTGACCGAACATGAAATGAGATCCAACATGTAACAGAACGAACCCCAACAACCATGACTCACAAAAGCTCACTGCATGGTCTAAATTACCCGTAGTCGATATCGTTGTGATCATACCTACATCACTGGCCACGGATAGTAACCCCCCTCCCGCACACGCTGACCAACTTTAGTGGATCTGGAGTGTCACGCCAACTTGTTGCCCTGACTAAATTCTATTTCATTAATTACTGTTCCTCGTTTAGACTCCACTAATATATACGAGAAACGATTCATCTTCTGACTGAAGAAATCACTGGGCCTTCCCATCTTGGTTAGCCCGAGTCCCGGTGGTAGCCAATGTGAACCACAGAGAGACGGTGGTTGTTGATTGTAGCTAGACTATCAACAAATACACTCCTCGATGCCTACCCCTCCCCTAGGGTGGACGGAATGATTGAACAAATTGCAAACTACCACACGTATAGCCTTCTTGATCTCAAGAGTGCCTATCACTTGATAACCTATCCAGGCAGAGGAATGGCCACACTCTGGCTTTGAAGCTTGTGGACGTCCCCATCAATTTCGTTGAGCCCCTTCTGACGTATTCAAAAAGAACTATCAACGACATAATTATGCTCGTGCACCTAAAGGACATTTCCTTCTACGTGGGCAATATCCCCATTTGTGGAGACGGAATCGGGGATGATTTAAACCTTTGAAAATCCCTGAACGTGACCTCCAATGAAGTCGAGTGTCATCGCCGCAAGTCAAATCATGCTTCTTAGTTTGGAACACTAAGATAGGATCCGGAACGCTGAAAGCCGTCGAGTGAAATGGCTTCTCCGGTTGACCACAGGTTGCAACGAGTAGTTGGATTGTTCGCATACTATTCATAATGGATACCTCACTTCTCTGATAAAAGTCACCTACTCATTCATATTAAAACATTCGACGCTGTTAAGGAAGAAGTTTCGAAAGCCAAAACCGCTAGCGCTCAGTATGGAACCACAATGATATTCGAAACCGATGCTTCAGACGCCGTAATTGACGCCGCACCGGACTAGAATGGCGGACTAGTAGCGTTCTTTCCGCGTAGTCTACCCTAAAATGAGCGGTAGCATTCTGCTGCCGAAAATGAAGTGTATGCCATAGTGGGGTGTACACTTTCTGTAATCATTTCAAGCTCATTACAAATTGGCATTTCGTTGCCTTTATCTAGGGTAGTCAACAAAAAGGGAAGGCAAAATGCCAATCGAATGCTGAAGGTCGGAACTGGAGCCATTTAAACTTGGCATGGTAAAGAAAATCGAGTGCAGGACACGTTTTTTCGCAGTTGTTGTGGGGCCTTGCCAACACATGTCAATCTGGAAAAATCGCGAGTCACTTTCTCATCCTCGTGTCTCGGCTATCATGCTTTGATTGGGCACGGAATATCCTCTCTTCGATGAAAGATATTCGCTGGATGTCAGAATTAAAGTGTAGTCAAACCCCCCTTTTTAAGCACAAGGCCAACTAATGGAGGCTACCCAATCGTTCGAAAGATTGCTCTGCCACAGCATGGTTCGAGTCACTACGCTATCTCCTCGTGAATGTGAGGATATAAAAAGCCACTAGAAATATTGGCTGGATCATGACAGCTTCAGTATTTCACCTCCATTTTGTTTCTATAAGGTCCGATAGGAGCGCAGAAGGCAAGCGGTCGAGAGCAAAATATGCACTCTGATTATCAGCAGAAAGTTAACATTTTAGGGATAAATTTCAGGACCCACTTGTAAAATTTGGGGTCCTCGAGATCGTCATCGTAGTCTTCGAAGAATTCGTGAAGGCTTTGGGCTTCCGCATTAAGCTCCTCTAGTTTCTTCCTCTCACGCTCCTTCTCCCTCTCATACTCAGCCAACTTCTTGCGCTCGCGGCTTTCCCACTGCCGTAAACGCTAAATGATAAAAATGTAAGCTAGATTTCGATTTTTTCATAATGAACCACCGACGGCTTAAAACGCGAAATCAGTGCTACAGGTGAAAATTTTAGGATGACATGAGAAGGCCTGTGGATATGATGTGCAATAAAGGGGTATTTTGTCTTCTAAAGTACTCCAAAAGGGCGGAACACTTATTTGCCATAAATCAGAAACTAACAGAAACTGAGACCTCAAAAATACTCACCTCTTGGTAGGATTCCTCTTTTTCCCTTAGCTTCCTTTCAAGCCTTTTCTTAATGGCCTCCTCCTCTTCGTCGACGTGGCTTGACCGTGAGTGGCTTGAGGATGTCAGATGTGAACTTGTGACGGATCCTCGAAGTCGCTTTTTCGATGGCTCGCGAGAGGATGATCGTGAACGCGAGTGCCTTGTCCGGGCTAATTCCCGTTCAGCCCGAGATCGAGAGTACCGCGAAGAATAATAGTCCCTATCGAGGTCTTTCGGCCGTCTGGTTCTCTCTTCGGTGGGAGTCTCTTTCTGTTGTGGCGTCGATTGGCGCCATACAAAGCAGATCAAGAGTACACCGTAGAGAATTTTGGCAAAACACATAACTGCGTTCACGGAAGGGGGCGCCAAGGAGTCGAAATCGGGCAACTTCCAAACACAAGCACAACAGTTGCAAAAAGTACTTGCTCGATGGCGCATATGCTTCGACAAGAAATACTTTATCAAGTTACTCACCCAGCCTCGCGTTATTAGCACAAACGGAAGTTGCTTCGACACGCAAGCAAGATGGGCTAAAAGAAGGCGAGGATTTGCTCAATTCACAGCTATCCTCAAAGTTTTAAACTGCCTAGTCCCGTTAACAGCAGGAAATTGTACTCACCAACATTGGCTAGTTGTCTTCATAAATTGCTGGTTATATTCATGGCTACCTTTAAGTCCATGTGTTCTGTTGTTCATAGACTGGCAGACGAGGCACAAAAGTAAGCTTGCCAACCCAGCCAAAATTGTGCCACAAGTTGGTGGAATCAAAATGGCAGTATAAAAACAAAATCCGTGTTCGGATACATCTAAGATTCCTCACCTCATTCCTCCGGCGGAAGGTTTCGATTTCCTTGTTAATCAGATCTTTTCGGTCGACGTCTAGATCCATGTCATCAAGCGTCTAAGGAAAATAAGTGGGACAGTAGTGCATGACGAAAATTGCAGTACGGGTGTCAAAGCGAAATAATTCCGAAAATACTTTAAGATCTGAAACTGTTAATGTCGTATTAAGTTCCGAAAAACAGTATCGATGAGACGAGGGTGAAGGGCTTGACTTGTAACGCTCGAGTCACAGTCAGATACACGCGTGACCAGATGAATTAATAACCTGTTAGTGTTACGATAGCCAAGATAAAATTACGAAAAGGTGACTCCTCGAGTCAGGTTTAGGGATCTTGACTGAGGGAAGTAGTCAGGTAGGTCAGTAAAAGGAGCAGTAATCGAACTCTAGATTAAAATGACTCGGAACGGGAGTGGGCATCTTTCTTCCACTTAACACTACCGGAGGCCGCAGTTGAGTTCCAGATTGGGAAGACTGAATAAGAATCGCACAGTCAAGCTTTAAAGTTAAGTCTCTAATGCAGCCTAGTATGTTCGCATTAGGTAGGCTATGGTTGAGAATACCTGGTCACGAGAATAAAAATTCGTCATGCCAACTTGATTGGACGAGGTATCTAGTTAAATGGGTGGGATGAGTGGTTCCCGCCGTTAGCCTCTCGTGTGAGTGTATAGAGAATTCGGGGGTATTAGTATTCCTTTCAAATTTACTGATTCGCACTTCGCCACGTCTTCAGGAAGAACAGACCCCGGGTGAAAAACCATACTTTAGTTGACTTTAGTTATCAACTAAAACCCGCAAGAAGTCCGGTGATTACCAAGACCGCAAAGAAGGGACAACAAAAAGGGCAAATGGGAAGTAAAATATGAACGTGCTGCTTTGTAACCAGGCTAAAACGTGGGAAGACCACGATCTACACTCCCAACCAGGCTGCAGATGATTGAACAGTAGTCACGTGCTCGCAGATATGTGCTTAGGTCCTCTGAATTCGTATGGTCTCGTTGCGGTAGCAGAAGATACTAGGCGACTGTCTCAGGGAAATGAGAAATGCCACTTAAGCGCAAATATTCCGAACTTATTGACCACTGTTATCTGAAGACACCCGCTTATTCAGTATCAAACTTGGTGAACCGAGTTTACTACAATGCTGACAAAAATATTATCTTAACATTACAGAAATCAAGTAATTAAAAACAGTGCAAAGCAATTTGAAACTCACCAAGTGTCTTGGACCCTCGAGATAGTCCTGGCGATTTGGAGACTCTGAAAATCGATTCGAGTCTTAAAACGAGTCGCTTACCATGTCCTAGCTGAAACGCGGCTACGCTTTCCTGAAGTATATTTTGCAGAGCAGTCTTGACGACTTCATCGTCCTGCTTTGTGGCCTCATCGACCTCGGCTGCAGTACTTCCAAGGCTACCATCGTCGCCTTCCTTTTGCTTCTTCTTCTTATACTCAGCTAACAAGTCCTCTGTCTTCGGGTCAACTTTGACCTATGATTTCATGCAAACATGGGAACGAACTAACCAAAAGCTTCTTGTCAATAATTTCAAATTCATTAAGAAGCCTAACACACCGCATAGTGGACTCCGGATCTTGGTACTCGCAGAACCCGAAGGCCTGCAGCTTCCCTGAAGCCCCTTGGACGCGTTTCCAACTAAGAATGTTCCCACAACGCTTTAAATAAAGTAACATTATATCATTACCATAAGGAGTGACTTTATGAGTGAATCTGGCGCGCGCTCCGGTATGTTGCCCACGAAAACTGTCGTTACAGGAGTCTTCTCCTGGGTGGTCGGAGTCACGGTTTCAGTAGTCGAAACTGTAGTGGTCGTTGGAGTGACTGTTGTAGTTTGAGCAGTAGTAACAGGTGGAGGCGGGATAGCTACTTGAGTGTAACCAACAACAGCAGGCACAAATTGTGGGTAAGCTGTTGGTACCGCACCATAATAAGCCTGTGGCAAGCCGAAATACTGACCGCCGTACGGATTCATCACCAAACGAACTGAACCGACGGGAGCGCTTGTGCGAGTTAAGAGCGATTAAAACAAAACGCGTGATTTGACAGGGAGTAATGATCGCAGTCAATAAGCCAGATAATTGGGCGCACGAAAACCTTCAAGTCCGCAGATAGTCTAATTCAAACTAAATACCGAGAACAAGGAAAGAACTTTTGTAAGCAGCGGGACAGTGCGACGTATTTTCGGGTCACAATGGAAAGTTCAGGGGGGAGGGGACAAGAGCAACGTAAGCAAATAGAAAAAAGGAAATAAGGCGAACTAAACAGATAACTAAGCCGACATATCCACGAGGCGCCAAAGGAGCATATGGCGAAGATTGCAACGGAAAATCGGTTGATAAGGATGGGAAGAAGAACATCACATCAGGCCTCCGGCAAAAATGGGGCGGATAGACCACTTTTTCAGTCCAGAGAATCGCTCGTCTTTCAGTTTCAGTACGACTTATTAATATTTGGCTAGTTTTCGCAATACAGGTAGTGTAGATACTTCTCTTGCCTAGGACATTCGCTAGAAACCATCATGCAAGTGTTTCCCGGTAGTTGTCTTCGGAGGATGGAGGTGCACTGAGCCACCTGCTTAAAATCCCAATCGTTTGCCCCGCCTTGCAGTTTGGATGGACGAAGTCAAATGGCGAGGGAAATGGCTAGACAAACACACACTAGTCCGATGTAGGACTGTCATATCTTCCATCATATCGTAATGTAAGTTGTTTAGGCACATCAGGTATAGGAACAGCCCAAAGCACTATCTTTAAAAACGCCACCCCATATAGGATATTTTTGAGACGCGATATCAAGGTCACGCACATGAAAATCACTGCCTGATAAGAAGTTTTTTCACCTCATGTATGTATGTATTTGATGGGTTAGGAGCAGAGCCCTCGACGACACTGTTGATGTATAATAATTTCCCACATTCATACTCAAAATATAGTTGCAAACATTTGTTATGTGATCAGTCCACAATACAACATTGGTAACAGTGAATCGCTTCTGTTTACTGTGAGTCAGTACGGAAAGATTGTGCAAGACAAAATGATTTCAAAGCTGGCTGAAAGTAGTCATGTTGTAAAAGCCGGTCTTTGTCAAAAGTTGCGCGAGCAAGATTTCTTTTAAGCATGTGAATTGTGTCAGCCGTCACCATTTCACTTGGTAGCGAGATCCATGGTCGGACAACCCGCTGACTAAAGAAAAATGTCCTACGGTCTAGCTGCGTGCGTTCGCTGTTGACTTTGTAGCGAGGATCGCACAATAAGTCTGTACAATTTAACTGAAAGAATTTCCTTGATCTCAGTGGGCAACCATGGCCACGGATAATCCGGAATTTCCCGAGGAAACTGCAAGTTATTTGCCTATGGGATAGAGGGAATAAACCAGGCATATTCAGTCTCTCTTGGTACGACAAATGCTTTACACAATCGACCATCTTCGTTGCTCTGTGCTGCGCCTGTTCGAGTAGGTCAATATCCCTCTCATCCATGGCGTAGCTGCTGGCATTCCATATCCCAGGTAGGATCTTACAAAGATGCCGAAAAGTCTTTCGAAGAGTTGGGGAAAATATCTTAACTGCACGTCTGATTCCGTGTAGAGTACTAGTTGCCTTCTGGACCATCTCCCTACGGTGTTCTGTCGGGATCAGATTTGGGATCGTCAATATATCCAGGTTTCTGTGGCTTCTTGTGTCTTCTAATGCCGTTCCGCTAACATATTACTGATGTGTGATAGAGTAATTTCACCCGGCGTTTAGGTGTAGAAACATGCGCTACGACAAATAAAAATTTGAAAGCCATCCGTTTGAACACACACTCAGTTTGTCGATGTTCAACTGCAATCTCTTCGAGTCACCTTCGACATTGTCTTCACTGCAATTTTTTGTCATCCTCGAACATGAAAACATTGCAATCCAATGCGTTGGTTTGGTGGTTTGCGTTAAGCGTTAAGATTAATATAGCTTAGAAAGCGATTATTTGCGAACTGTCGCACGAAATGCTTTAGGTAAGTTTAGATCAGTATATTTTCAGGGCAAGAGGCAATGCCTTTGAAAACCCCATTGAAATCGGTGCATGCAATGTCAAACTTTAAATAAACCCGGTAGTAAAATGTTGTCAGTAATAAATGCACTTAACAGGATATTGTTCTTTGAAAATGCAGAACTGAAACTCCAGAACATTCAGTTGTAGATGATATCGGTAAAATGAAATGTCAATCATCTGCATTAGCGGTAGGTGTATGCAAGGCCTTGGTTTGGCACAACAGAGATGCTCTGTCCAGACAAGCGGTATTTTCCAAGCAAAAATACATCTAGTCTTTGCTTGAATGTCTCCGTGGAATCCGCCATTATCACGTCCTCGCGAAACCCGTTCCAGGCACCGACCACTCACTGTGAAAAACAGTATCTGCGAACGTCCAGGCGGCATCGGGATCCTCTAAGTTTTAGACAGTTACCACGCAAGTTTGTTGTCGTGGCCAGGGTGAAAAAATCGTCGGGGTTTAGGGCACAGTCCCGGTTCCTCAATGTCCGATACGCTTGTATAACATCTCCTCGAATCTGCCTATACTCAAGATGAAATGGTTTAAGTTAACTAAGTCTGTAGTTGTATGGTAAAGTCCTAAGGCCTTTCACATTTTTTGTGGCTCTCCTCTGAACTCTTTCTAGCAACTTATTGTCTTTTTTAGCCACGGGCGCCACACTTACATTTGATATTCCAGATACGAATGAATGAACGCTCTGTATACTTTTCCAAATAACTCCTTGGCGATATCTATGAAAGTTCGTTTAATTGCAAAGAGAACACTGATTGCTTTTTGGCCGCCCTAACGCACTGAGAAGAAGGCTTAAGAGTCGACAAAATGTTGCTCTCAAGATCTTTTTGTTCGGTCTCATTTGAAAGGCACCATCCGCCAAGCAGTCAGTGGTGATCCTCTCCATCAGCTCTTCCATTCGTTTTGAGTGGCATCGCGACGCACTTCTCAAGGTTAAACTTCAGCTGCCATTTGTCAGACCATTCGCATAGGCGGTTCAGTCCTTCTTGCAGAGCCCGTTCATCATTTTCCCCGTTGATCGCTCGCCATAACTTGATGTCATCGACAAACATGACTCCATAGCAGTCCAGTCCATTCATACAGTCGTGGACATAAATAAAAAATAGTACTGGCCCGAGTACGGAGCCCTGGGGAAATCCACTCACAACTGGCACTGGCGTTGACTTGGCACTTCCAATACACACAGACTGTAATCGACCAGTAAGAAAGTCATTTACCCAGTTTAATAGGTTTCCCCTTATCCCTGACTCTCGGACCTTGTAAAGCAGCCGATGGTGTGGAACACTATCAAGGGCTTTCTTGAAGTCGATGTAAACGATATCGACCTTTGTTTCTTTGTCCGACGTGCGGGACCACTGTTCCGTTGAATGGACCATATTAGTTAGACAGGAGTGATTTCATCGAAAGCCATGCTGGGAACTAGCAATGAACCTATTTTCTTCAAGGAACTTCATTATGGATTTTTTGACTATTCTCTCCATGACTTTACAACAAATGCACGTTAGGCTCTCCGGCCGATAATTGTTTTCACATGTCCTAGATCCACCCTTGTGAATGGGGTATATGTTCGCCACTTTCCAATCAGAGGGGAGAATGCCTCGGTCAAAGGACGACCTGAAGATATGCAAAAGCGGTCTGGCGAGTTTGCAGGCCAACTCCTTCAGAACGTTTGCCGGAATTTGGTCTGGACCCGGAGACTTACCCTCCTTAAGCGCTAGAAGTTCCTTTGTCACATCCTCTTTCGTGAAGTCGATGTTTTCTATTATTCCGTCGGTTGTCAGAGCAGGCAATCCAGCCTCGTCGAAGTTCGTTTCATCGGTGAAAACAGATACGAAAAACCGGCTTAGATGTTCCACCTTAGCGTCATTTTCGATGATATCCTCATTGTTTTCTTCTTTCAACACTAAGACCGTCTCCCTGTTCTTTAACCTCCTGTTGATGCGGCTAAAGAGCACTTTGGCTTATCGATGGCCCTTCCATAGCTCGTGTTTCATACTCCTTCCGCGACCTGCGGATAGCGGATATGAACGCGTTTCGCTTTCGACGAAACTGCTCGTAATGAGATGGTTGTCTTGTTGTTGCATACCTTCTCCATAGTTGGTTCTTCTGGTTTACTTATTTCTTTATATCCCGCTTCATCTAGGTAGGACGATTTTTCTTTTTGACTGTCTTTGTCGGACAGTTTCGATGCACGATGTCGGTTACAACTCCTTTGAGAGTGTTCCAGTCAACGTCTGGATGTCCGGAAAAAACATCATTCCAGTCCACTGCCGATAATTCCCTTCTCATGGCAGCAAAATGTCCTCGCCAGAAATTCAGCCGAGGCTCAGTCGTATTCACTTGTTGGCTGCATAGGCGGTATTCCCAAAACAGCATGACATGGTCACTCTTACCGAGCGGTGTTATGGACCTAAGTTCGCCAGGGCTAATTGGGTCTTTTGTAAGGACGAGGTCCAGACAATTTGGTCTTTGGTCCTCTCTGATCCTGGTTGGGAACATGAGGTTTTGTACCAGAAAG